CACCGAGGAGAACAGTGGAAGGGCAAAAACAAACTGAATAAAATGACAGAACCCCCCACCAGGCAAAAACAAAAAGAAAAACAAAACCCCGCAAGAGGACAGCGAACCCCAAGGAACAGAGCCGGCCGCGATGTCGGGAAATACAAGCTGAGCAGCACCCTGCGCCCCTACCAGTGCAAACTGCCTCTTACCTGCCGGTAACAAGGGAGAACAGAACACCCAAGAGCCCAACAGGCGGCCGAAAAACCGAAAGGTAAAACGGACCAGCAGAGGCAGACCCCGAGGAGCCTGTGGAAGGCGGCCCCAAGGGCAGTACTTACAGGGCACCTAGGGAAGGCAGCCCTAGGCGCATGCAGCCCGAGTACTGAAGATAACTCCTGGCTCTCGCACCCACAAAACTAACACCACACTCAAAGCACAGTGCAGTAGCGACACTGGAGCCAGAGCACACGACCATCGCCTATAGCATCAGCCTCAAGAACTGAGGTGTGGGTAGCCGGCGCGGGGGGTCTGGGGCTCCCCCTTCCCCCTCCCGGGGAGGGGGGAGCTGCGCAGACAGCGGCGCGGCAGTGTGTGACGTCACACTAATTTGCTTGTTTTCGGTTGGGGAGTTCTATCCATTAGTTCGGTATTAGGTAGCAATTTTAACCAGAATAGGGGTTTGTTTTGGGGCGCTTACCTTTCTGGGTGCCTGTTCCGGTCGATGGCAGACATAGAATGCTTCCAACTACACGGGGGCTTCTATAGGCCATTGCTCCCCTTGCCTCTCTGAGGGGGCCCGGTTCTGGCCGTGGTCCCCGGTAGGCCTAAGAACTCCATACACATGACTGATGCCAAAGTCTGACATTAGCATATCAGCCTGGGATAGCTCCGGGGAGCCGACGGGGCTCCCCCCAGAAAAGTGTCACTAAAGAGCAGATTGATTCTCAACTGCCCTAAGAGGACCTCTTGCACTACACAGAAACAGACCCTCCATCAACCAGGTGCACCTGGAAAGGGAGCTTTTAAGCCACACCCCCACAAGGAAGGGTAGGCACAAACAAACAAGAAGGGGCTCCGTCAAGGTTGAATGACAAGGTGGCGGTAACGCATCAAGTGGTTATTCAAAAAGCCATGTGAAAAAGATCATTACCAACAGAACAGAAACTGAAAAAAAATGTAAAAGAATGCATGCCAAACAATCTTGTGTGTCATTGTGAAGACTGATACAGATGCTACACCAGAATAATTGCAACCTGCCTCCCTATAAGTGGCGGTACAATAGGCTACCTGAAGGGCGAGAGAACCTCAAACCATCGAGATGCTTGTTAAAAATTGAGAGTTGTCTGGCAGCCTGGCCTGGGTTCATGTTTCCTTAGCGATTGCTTGATCTGCAAAGCTGTCATCATGGCTAATACGCACACAAAGTTTTTTTTCCGGAGACAGCAAAAATAAGAGGACTGAAGTTAACAAACGGAATGCACTAGGAAGTGATGTGGCAGAGGCAACCTCCATACACAGTTTCAAATGTAGATATGAGAGCCCAGTAGGCTACGGAACCTGTACACCAGTTGATTAAAACCAAAAAGCCGAAGCTCAACCCGCCACAGACACAATCAAGTGACAATTTGATGCATACAGCAAAGCTGATACACTAACTCCTGCTGAAACTTTTTGAATTCTCTCTTGAAAGCTTCCATTGTTGTTCAGGTTCAAATTCCAACCTCTTAACAAGCAAAGCCTTTGGAAACAAAAATATATGAGAGCAAGGGCTGGGAACCAGGGCTGAACTACTCACACGAGAGCAAGAAGAATACACAGGCCTCCAGCCAGCCATGAAAAAAATATTAACTGGAACCCTGTGCAATTTCATTATTTACGTACTACTAGATTGCATTAACCTGCTGAGTACCTAATTGAAGACCTCTTTCTTCCAGCAATATACTGTAGTGTCTCTTACCTCTGCTGGTAAAGGTTTCAATTAGTTATGAATCTGATCACCAGTGAATGTAACCTCAACTCATTAATAACAGATATACATCCTAATACAAAAGTACTGTATTTAAGTTTTAAATTAATACAATTTAAGAGTTCATGTCATCTGGAACCAGGACAGTTTTGACAGAAAACAGCAAATTATGCAACACCTCTCCTCCCCCTTAACCACAAGAGGCATCATTCGATACAAGCAGACACAGGATAAATAAGCAAAACACATCAGTGCTCCTGTTTGGGACAAGCACACTACCTAGCCGTGCTAGAAGGTCGTAACCACGTCAACTCCCTAGTTACGACCTTCTAGCACGGATAAGTCAGTGAGCAACTCTTGCAGCATGTATATTTTCTTAATAAATTTGGAAGATCATGTGCTTGAGTTTTAAAATGCCTGAAATTTTAACAATTTTGCAAATTTTTATAACCTGCAAAAAGATGTTAAGGATTTTAATATTTTAAGTGAAGCCAAATTAAAAAAATTAATAAATAAATGATGCAACTGTGAGGAGCATGACAAAAATAAATGCAAGACAGCACACTGCATTAAACATGGTGAGAGGTCCATAGAATTACCAAAATCCCCTTTTGAATTACATAAATAAAGTCCAGATGAAATCAGTTACTGTACTGTAATACTGTACTGGTAAGTAATGTAGCATTAATGTTTAAGACTTTTTTAAATTAAATAAGAGCAAAAATGTGGCATATATATATATAGCATCAAACAAAATTGTCAATGCAGACATACTGTCTATTACCGCTGATGTCATGGAGCACCTATTTTCATCTTACTTCGTTTATATTCATGAAAAGAATGTGAAAAACATTCTACATGTGTTAAAAGTATTACAGCAGCAGCTTTCATTTGGAATTTGTTTACATACCATAATAATAATTCTATTTACCCAAACGAGAGTTGATAAGCTGAAGCAAACATTAGGGTAAGAGTGCAAAGTTTTAGAAGAAAATATAAAATGAACTACAGCATATACGTATACTGTACTCTTGACTGCTTGAAGGTTGTTAAGTATCCCAAAACACCTTGCAATTCACCCCTCTAATGTTCAAGTTGCTGCTGCTTCCCTTGATATCCACGATATCTGGATATCGTGTGTATATGTGTGTACTGTATATATAATTTTTTTTTTTTTTTCTATACAAGAGTTAACAGTTTATAATGCTACTAGCACACAGCATTTTGAGAAGGTTCCTATCATTGTCCTGGCGGGTGACTCGCATTGCACCAGAATGTAGGCCGAGCATTGCCGATGTGAGCTGCAGTGTCAACTGAACGGTGTCAGAGTTAAGTGGTTAAAGCCTACCTAACCTAACCCAGCTTAGCCCAAACTAACAACTTTATTTAACTGAACCCAGCCTTGCCTAACAATAAGATTTTAAAACACACCTAACCTAACTCGGCACAATCCAAGCCGACATAACCTATCCCAGCCTAACCCAACAATAAGCAAATTTAACAATTAGGATCACTAACATATATATATTTTTGAAATAAAGTTATTATTATTGTTACAATATTATAAAGAGCTTTGTAAATAAGCTCAAGTACTAGTTGACAGTATCCAATCTATAACATATCACAATCCTTTTCATAGATAAGGATTTATTATTCAGACAACTTACAACTTAGCCATAAGAAAGCAATGTAATAGCATTTTTAGAATTTATTTATTACATTTATAACATGCCTAGCATTTCAGGTAAGTCCTTAATCCTAATATTCCCTGGAATACAACCCTGCCAAATTGTTTAACAACCTGATACTCCTTTCACTGTTGGGTAAGCAGAGGATACAGTTAGGGATTTGCACTCGGTAAATACTCCCTGGCCAGGATACGAACCCAGGCTAAAGCGCTTGCGAAACGCCAAGCGAGCGTCTTACCACTACGCCACAGGGACTGCCCGAGCATTATTTTGTTAAGACATTTTTAATACGGTACCACTTAAGGCTTATCGAGATTACCCTATCAATGACATGAACACAGATCACATTTATCTGAATTTACCCGAGGGCCACCATCTCTCTAGTGGCCTCAGAAGAGGACAGAAAGCCGACAACTGGTGAAAGCATTGGTCACCCCCATTTTTCCCGATTTTATCGAGGTTGATCTTGAATTTCAGCAATGTTTTGGCATTTATGGCTTATTACCTCAAAGATTTTTAGTTGCATTAAAACCTAACTAAAACAATAATCCAGCATACTGTCACTACAGGATGCAACCCACAAGAGATGCAAACCAACAGCATTAACCACTGTGTTACAGCTCACTTATATTACCAAGTTCACTCATGGTACACAGACACATTCGACAAGGCTACTAATGACAGCAATCTGGGCAAAATTATGTAAACTTCAATACAGTACTATTCAATATAAGCCTACTAGACATTCTTAATATTTTCATGGATTAAGTTGCATCATACCATTCTTGGGCGCTTCTTGCCAAGCTTGTTATGCACTTGAAAATGTTGCGTATATATTGTCAGGTTGGGGATTTAAAAGCCACTAGCAGACATGAAATCAAAATCAAAATGTTTATTCAGGTAAAAGACGAGTTACAAACACAATGTTGGACATGTTTATGAAGTGACTTATACTCGACTCCTACACACTATGATGTCAAAACTCATGTATAGCAACTGACCTAAAATGATAACCAAAACAAGAAATGGTGTTAAAATTAGAAGTGACGGAGTGAAGTGTTTGAGAGGGAAATGCCCGTCGGCAGCTTGGTACCGCGTGTGCGGCGGCACCCTGGCATGGGCTGCCTCTATACACCACTTAATTTCAACCACTACCAATTACTGCCTCGGAGAAAATACCCGACAAACTTACTCGTCAACCCATTAGTTCCAAAAAGCATCCCTAAAGCAAGTAAATAATAACCAGAATTTATTTTTCCCGCGTAGCGTGGGGTGACTAGGAGCAGAGGCTGGGTGTGCACAGGTGCTGGGGGGCCTCAACGAGCACAAGCACACAGCAGGTGAACACGTACTAACAAGCCTACCATTGTTAAGAGGCGATGGGTCGTGGAGCAGGGAAGCAGGAGAGGATGTGTGGAGCAGCAGCAGCAGCAGCAGTGGTCGCGTCCTGTTCCTCACGTGGCGCCTCCACTACCCCCCTCCCTCGCAGGGTTGCCAGGTCTAAATTGCTGAAAGTAGCGAGCTGACGGGCTAAAGGTAGCGAATTGGCAATAAGAGTAGCCCAATCTTTTTTAGTGAATGATATGGGTTTCAAAGTAATATATTTTGATATATAGAGTACACTACACGATGTTAATTGTTTTATTACTATCACTTGTTCCCTTGTAACTTGTAACTCACTTGTAACACTTATGTGCTGTGCTTCCTATTTTAACCTGCTATGTTAAATGGGATTCTTGTATTGTGATTTGTGTATTTGTACTCATTGAATTTGTGCGCCCCTTGAGGGACTTGAAGTAGAGGGGAGTAGAAATAGCTTAAGCTACTCTATCCCTTTGAGATGTATTTTTTTATTGTCTCAATAAACATACTTGAACTTGAAGTGGACTTTAATGTTTTTTCGGCAGCTTTATTTCCTTAGTTTCCGAGCTGTTTTCTTTACCGTGTATGTTGTAATAAACTATTCCTATATTTACAGTCGCTTCTTCCTGTGAAGATTATTAAACAATGGTGATTATAAGGGCGCGGAAGTTCAGCGTGGCCAGGGCCGCCAGCAGCCCTTGGGCCCGCCCCGGCAGCACCCAGTCTTTAATTTGGCACCTTTGTGGCACCTTTATGAGGCCTTGGTATAAGCCTAACATGTATATATACACTGGCTGCCTGTCCCCCTACACAATGATTTATTATCACTTATTTTATCATTTAATTTAAATATTAAATAAAATAATTTATTTAATTATTATAGTAAGTATTTAATAATTTAATAATAAGTAGTAAGTACATAAAAATGATTAAAAAGTACAGTTTAGTCATAGGAGATTCCTAGATTGGAATTCACTACTAAATTTCAATATATCCAAGTATTTTTAGTGTGAAATGCTGTTATTATATGCATAAATTGTTGTTTTAATAATATTACGCTTAACCACTTGGGCTGGACGGTAGAGCGACGGTCTCGTTTCCTACAGGTCCGCGTTCAATCCCCGACCGCCCACGAGGTTGGGCACCATTCCTTTCCCCCGTTCCATCCCAAATCAGTATCCTGATCCCTTCCGAGTGCTATATAGTCGTAATGGCTTGGCGCTTTCACTTGATAGTTCCCCCACCCCCTGAATAATATTACGAGAGCAGTATTTACGGGCTATTCATGCCCATGCCACCTCTTGGGTGGCTTAATCTTCATCAATCGAGAGCAGTGCGTCCTAACCAGACGTTATATGATGATATCCTGAACAGTTGATAAATAAAAGTAATTGCGTAACTCCAGTTATCTAATACTTATCATAAATGGTATAAAACCTTATCATAAGCCAAGGGATTTATCAGTGTTCAAAGGGAATTCGGAAGTAATAATAACACAGCTGATGCCATCTGTCGGCAGAAGAGAACACTATCAACTAGCTGGTCAATATATAGTGGCCATAAGATACAGCTTACGCCATCTGTTGACATCAAATTACACCTATAACAAATTACCCTACAAAATACAACTAACGCCATCTCTGTTTTTTCCAACGCACTATAAATAGCCAAACAGCAACCCATAAGGTGGGTTGTTGTGCTCGGGTAGGAGGTTCCAAGCTCTGCCCACACACTCACACAACAGCCAATCACAGGAAGGGATCAGCTAAAGGCTCCATCCACTTAATAAATCATCTTTATTCAGCACACCATCCTTGCTTATGACATTCTGCTACAACTTTAATTTACCTAGAAAGTGAAATGTTAAGTATTTAAAAGTATTAATATAGTAATAATTAAATATTGCAGGATATAACAAATGTTATATAAAAATGGGCTGGCTACCTAACTTGTGGCGTTATTATTGGGGTTGCCTTGACACAAATAATGATACACTGCTCTGCCCTCGTATTCGAGTAAATTATTCAGTTAGATGGAGATTTCTGTCAGGTGTAAAACAGAAATTGTTGTTCTTTTTCACAACAACCTTGTTGTTGTGCACAAGGACCTATTTCTTAGTTTAAATTTTATTCATAAAAGAGTGTTGGTATTCCCCGCAACTGCCAATCACAGGAAGGTATTTCTGGAAGCTCGGCCTCCTTATGGACTCAGCACATCGCTCTAGGTCATGGCTCGCTGTTTCATCTCTTGTATATACAAACTATGTCTTTTTCGATTACTGTTATAATTAATGAGATATAAAAGTTTTTACACAAAATGGCTAAATTCTGCCATTAAATGGACTTTGTCTGGTATACATACAAACATACACCAATTTATTACCATTCATCCATTATTAATTTCATATGTAATGTCTAGTCTAGTTTTTTTCCTCTCGCCATTACTTGGTGCAATATTTGAAGGTTGTCTGTTTATTTATCGATCTATCTATTATCTTGTATTTATATTTACAAGTTTCTGTGCTTGGAAGAAAACTCTACATTGAATTGGGACTAATTTATTAAATAATATTTAGTATTAATTAATATTTACAATTATTTATAGCTTAGTTACTTTCATGTAACTCGCAATCGTACATTCTTAACTTTAATAGCCCAAATTAGCACATCTTGCTTTTAAATTAGCCCAAAAAATAGCAAGGAGCTAAATTAAAAATTTGGGAGCGCGGGGCTCTCAAAAGTAGCCTAAATTGCTGAAAGTAGTGTGCTGACGGTCTAAAGGTAGCGAATTTGTAATAGGAGTAGCCCAATTTTTTTTAGTGAATGATATGGGTTTCAAAGTAATATATCCTCTTGATGCTTCTATACTGGTACGGAGTGTTGAAGTGGGTAGAATATAGTTGTGCATTAATTGGCTGTTGATTGCTAGTGTTGACTTTTTGATGTGTAGTGCATCGCAGATGTCAAGCCGCCTGCTATCGCTGTATCTATCGATGATTTCTGTGTTGTTTGTTAAGACTTAACAAACAACCCAGAAATCATTAGGTACTTTTTGGTTTTACTTTTGAACAGGGCAGAAGTTGGACAATTTTTTAATTCATCAGGGAGTGAGTTTCAAAGACTGTAGGCCCCTTTAATTTGCATGGAGTGTTTACACAGATTTAGCCTGACTCTGGGGATATCAAATAGATATTTATTTCTGGTGTGGTACTCATGGGTTCTATTACACCTATGAAGGAAAAGTTTCAGATCAAGATTAGCATTTAGGAACAAGGCTTTTGTACATGTTGATAGCACACGAGAATGTGTAGAGTGTGTATATATGTTTAGCATGTTGAGGGACTTGTACAGATGGGCTGTGAGTTAGGTTCTTTTAATTGCCTTATACAATTTAACGAATAAAAAGGTTTTCGTGCCTTAACATCTTTATATTATGATAATCACGACATATCTACATTAAAATCAATGTGCGATTCCGGTTTTGGCCTCCACCGCCTTCTCACTTGTTCCCTTGTAACTTGTAACTCACTTGTAACACTTATATGCTGTGCTTCCTATTTTAACCTGCTATGTTAAATGGGATTCTTGTATTGTGATTTGTGTATTTGTACTCATTGAATTTGTGCGCCCCTTGAGGGACTTGAAGTAGAGGGGAGTAGAAATAGCCTAAGCTACTCTATCCCTTTGAGATGTATTTTTTATTGTCTCAATAAACATACTTGAAGTGGACTTTAATGTTTTTTCGGCAGCTTTATTTCCTTAGTTTCCGAGCTGTTTTCTTTACCGTGTATGTTGTAATAAACTATTCCTATATTTACAGTCGTTTCTCCCTGTGATGATTATTAAACAATGGTGATTATAAGAGCGTGGAAGTTCAGCGTGGCCAGGGCCGCCAGCAGCCCTTGGGCCCGCCCCGGCAGCACCCAGTCTTTAATTTGGCACCTTTGTGGGACCTTTGTGGGACCTTGGTATAAGCCTAACATGTATATATACACTGGCTGTCTGTCCCCCTACACAATGATTTATTATCACCTATTATTTTGTCATTTAATTTAAATATTAAATAAAATAATTTATTTAATTATTATAGTAAGTATTTAATAATTTAATAATAAGTAGTAAGTACATAAAAATGATTAAAAAGTACAGTTTAGTCATAGGAGATTCCTAGATTGGAATTCACTACTAAATTTCAATATATCCAAGTATTTTTAGTGTGAAATGCTGTTATTATATGCATAAATTGTTGTTTTAATAATATTACGCTTAACCACTTGGGCTGGACGGTAGAGCGACGGTCTCGTTTCCTACAGGTCCGCGTTCAATCCCCGACCGCCCAAGAGGTTGGGGACCATTCCTTTCCTCCGTTCCATCCGAAATCAGTATCCTGATCCCTTCCGAGTGCTATATAGTCGTAATGGCTTGGCGCTTTCACTTGATAGTTCCCCCACCCCCCTGAATAATATTACGAGAGCAGTATTTACGGGCTATTCATGCCCGTGCCACCTCTTGGGTAGCTTAATCTTCATCAATCGAGAGCAGTACGTCCTAACCAGACGTTATATGATGATATCCTGAACAGTTGATAAATAAAAGTAATTGCGGAACTACAGTTATCTAATACTTATCATAAATGGTATAAAACCTTATCATAAGCCAAGGGATTTGTAGATCAGTGTGTAAAGGGAATTCGGAAGTAATAATAATACAGCTGATGCCATCTGTCGGCAGAAGAGAACACTATCAACTAGCTGGTCAATATATAGTGGCCATAAGGTACAGCTTACGCCATCTGTTGACATCAAATTACACTTATAACAAATTACCCTGCAAAATACCACTAACGCCATCTCTGTTTTTTCCAACGAACTATAAATAGCCAAACAGCAACCCATAAGGTGGGTTGTTGTGCTCGGGTATGAGGTTCCAAGCTCCGCCCACAAATGGTATGGGGTGCATAATAAATGGCATATCATTGGTAGAAACTCTTTGTTGACATTCACACAACAGCCAATCACAGGAAGGGATCAGCTAAAGGCTCCATCCACTTAATAAATCATCTTTATTCAGCACATCATCCTTGCTTATGACATTCTGCTACAACTTTAATTTACCTAAAAAGTGAAATGTTAAGTATTTAAAAGTATTAATATAGTGAT